AGGATTATCTCAGAAGAGAGAAATATTGTGCAAATGAAAATGTCATGATAGCATTTTTTGTCAATCATGCAGTATATTTCAACTGTCTATCCTTTATTTATCCTTCCATCTAAATATATGGTGGGGAGACAGAATGCTAGGAAAATATGACTGACACCAATAGTATTTATCTCAACCTTAAATCCATTACATCTGGTTACAAAGACTTGAGAACAAATAATGAAGCTTCAAAGATGACTTACCACTGAAAAAATATTATGTGTAGTGTTTGACGGGGGAATAAGATCGATACTTATTTTACATGTATATTACTTGAATTTGGAGATTGGAGACTGAGACAGGAAGACAGCCATCTGGATGCTGTTGGAACAGTCCATGCAATGAGGGGTGGAGAATAAATGGGGGCGGAAGAGGGTGGTGACAGGGACAGGTGGTGGAGGGTAGACTGGAGTCTAAGGGGTGTGAGAGCTGATGCTGTCTCTTTCACACCTTCACACAGTAAGCCAGTTAGAGTGGTTTCTCTCATGTGTTTCCTTAGCAGCTGGTTTCAATAGAAACAGAGAGTAAAGGTTAGTTTGAAACTGTCCTCAACTTGATAGGGATGGCATGAGGCTCTGATTCATTCTATAAGTTGCACTGGATTGTGATGAAGGTCTTGCTTTAAAAAAAAATTCAATTCATGGATTGAGGAGTGAATATTTCTTTCTTCTCATGTAGAAGATGAAGTTCTTAATTTGCATAAACGATGAAACATTCTACATACCAAAATGCACATAAAGAGATGTTTCAGATTCTTAAAATTTCCAATTGATCATTAAGATATAATTAGGCTATATTAATTTTGTTACCTTGCAATATATATTTATATTTTTGGGGTTGAATAGTAATTCAAAAAAAATGTCAGTGCCAACTATTTACCAGCAGTCTACTAAATTTCCTTTACTTTTGAAACTCACTAGCTATAATGATCCATTGCCCATTGGTTAATTTAGTTGAAGTTAAAAAAAAAAGAATAATGAGTAAATGACTTTAGACTGTTTACCTGCAGGGGTCTTTACTTTGTATGCACGCACGGAAGTAGAGCTGATGAAGAAACATATTGACTTGTCTTAAGTCAATGTTTGATTTCACCATCACTCTATAAGAATCGCCAGTTTTTAATAATTGCTGGTTTTCTCAGCCTTGTTCCCTCCTTTCCATTCTCCATCATCTTCCTTTCTCTCATATTGTGACATCTATTACCTAGGTCCCTTAATTAGACGTGTGACTTTCATTTTGTCGCCGTCTTCTATATTACGATGTTTACCCTACGATTTTGCTTTTCTCATCGCTCATATCTTGCAGTCATTGTAGACTTGGTGGCAAACATGGTGTGGGTGCTATTTGTCATTGTCTTAGTCAAATATGTATAGTTTCATAGTGGGCTTACCTTTAAGATATCAACTGGTAACATGTAGAAAGATAATATATAGATTCCACATTTTGATATCATTGCCTTTTTCCATTTTGTTATTTCTATTTTCTTAACTAGGTGGTAAGAGATCTGCTGAAGAAAATGCAGCGACAAATCAGAATAACAAGCGCCCTCGTGGTGGAGATGGCACCAAGGTTTCTTTTCGTCTCTTGATTCCAAGCAGTGTAAGTTTTTACTTGTATTCCATTGATAACAACTTAGACTGACTAGGATGTGAAGATGACTGTGTTTTCTGGTAATTTTTTTAAATTTCTTGCTTATTTTACTCATCATAATGAATGACAGATTAAGATTTGGTTATGCCTCAAAAATTATGTCAATGTCTGATATTTGTTTATTCCCATATTTTTGGTTGTGATATGAGATACCTTCTAAACTCTAATCTTTGGTGATATTTTTTCTTATATATTTTAACTTCATCATTTGTTACTTACAATTGGGGAGGGGGAAGGAAGGGGAAAGACTACTGTTGGAAAGTTTGTTTCCCTCTCAAAAAGCCTCCTTGCCCTACTTTAGCATTAAAAGACACACAAATATTGCAGGTGGAAAGCAGAGAAGAACTGTGGACAGATTGAACACAACCTCCTGGAAAGTACATGTGCCTATGTTCATTGTCTGTTGGTGTAAGATATATATGCTGTCTCTTAGAAGACAGAATGATTCCATCACTTACTATGCATCATCACTAACCATCTTGCTTGACTAGCATCTCGCTCTCTCTCTCTCTCTCTTGCACCCCTTCTCCTCTATAATGCAGTCATGTGACTAGAGAGATAGTGCCTCCCCTTCCAGTTTATTTTGAGACCCACTACTTTATTTATTTTTTCAAATTAGAAAGACTTGAAAGAGACTCAGAAAAAGAGTAAATATTCATGATGCTGTAGAACTGTGTTTAAAAAGAGTGAGTGCTCTAATAAACCTTTGATGCAGGCAGCTACTGTTTCACTCCTCACATGACATTTCATCTACAAGGAAAATATGAGAACATGGCTTTAAAATGTACATGTATGTTTAATCACCACACTAGAAATATATCTTCAGTACACATACACTGTACATGTCCAATTACCTTTGTCTGTTCTCCCTGATTTCTATTGCAAGTATCCAACATATTACTGTCATTTTGTAGTCATGGTTCTATACCCCTACCCTCTCTCTCTCTCTATCTCTCATCAATTTCTCTCTGTCCATGTTTACTTGTAGGCCTATTATATTTTGTTTCTTTCTGTCTCTGCCTGTGTCTCTTTTATCTGTAAATATGCCTCTCAGTCTCACTGTCTGTCTCTTTATTTCTCTCATTCTCTCTTTCTCTCTTTCTCTCTCTCTCTCTCTCTCTCTCTCTCTCTCTCTCTCTCTCTCTATCTTTCTCATACTTCTTTCTCTGCTTTATTTTGTTTATAGAAGAGAAAGCTACGTGTATATAGATGTAATGACTTTAACAGGATTTACTTTCTCTTGGAATAAGGATATCACAGCCTCTGTATACAGTGCTCTCACCAGAATGCAAATTGTATCAATCATACTCAAGGAGTATAATAGGAAATTTGGTTTCAGCATATTATGATTTATAAGAAGAGAATGGATTGTATGTCTAGACTGGAATTTTGTTGGTAACATTTTGTCTGAAGCTCCTTCTATCAATATATTTCATTCAAAACATAAGAAAAGCCTCAGCATTTACTCTGACTCTGAAGCACACAGGAAAAGTGGGATATTTAAATTTTTTCTGACTACCTTTAGAGATCAAGATGATATCGAAACTCATAAGGAATATGTAGAGAAAATGTGATGTATCTGCCTACAGCATATGGGATCAAAGGTCATATCGATGATGTGAAAAAGTTACCAATTAACCAGATTGTAAAAAGAAAAAGAAAATGTTGCTGCACTAATTGCTCTCAAGCCTCTATGAATAAAATATGATTGGATGGGGGAATAATTGAAAGAGAAGCAAATTTGTGTTATTAATGAGACACAATTTTCATCAGGGAATGCTGTTTTCTCATTGGCCAATCATCACATCAGTGATGCTTGCCTTGCTTCTTTGTTTGCTTCAAAGAATAGAATAATTATTGTAGGTTCTAATTTGGATGTATAGTTTTGGCTTGGAGTGAGTAGGGGTGTGTGACGCCACACAATAGAGGTCTGTTCCCTATGGGCAGGTGGTAAGCGATCAGAAATAGATTGTATGTGCCTAAATGAAGACAGAAGAAAAATGGTAAAATTTAGCTTAATAGGCTAACGATATTGGAGGATTTCCACCCATTTATCCCGCTCACTGAATTGTGTCATGTGTTTTTATGTGGCTGCTCTCGGCTGGCTGCCAGCCAGCTTTGCAACTGTTGCTTTGTGTGTATTTTACCAGGATATTTTTGCCTCTCTTTTAAAATAAAATAGCTTTATTTAACGAGTCAAAGAGAAAGGAAATTAAGCACCTATAGACAAAGTAAAATAAAAGAAGTCCATGATTTGTTATTAATGTACTTACATATTAATGAAAAAAACACCAGACTACTTATTTAAAATTGAAATTATCAAAGATAGAAAATATGATGTTTTACAATGTTCTTAAAGCCTTTTTTGTTAATAGATAGAAGTAATTAATCCTTTTTTGGTTTGAAAATAGAAGTAATTAATCCTTTTTTGGTTTGAAAATAACAATTTTATGATGTAAATGAGCAGAAAGGCGAATATCATTAAGTGTTCAAAGTTTAAAGAGAAAAAATACATGTTTCATGTTGTTTTTTTTGTAAAAGAATGACATCATTAGTCTCAAAGATTTGGTTTAGTATATAACAAGTATATACATCAAACATACTCTAATACAATTCATTAATTGACAAAGACAAGTTGATCTGCTGTTAATTTTAAATTGATGGTCTTGCTGCTCTAATTAATGCATTATGCACAAAGCATTTGAAGGAAAGTCTCAGGGAAGGATGCTGTCTGTGTCTTCCATTTTAGAGGTTGCATTTATAATATTCCATGTGATATCTAAATGTATGGCTAATGGCTTGTCTAAAATGTATTGACTTGTCTTGTGGTCATATTATCAAGCAGCACCGGGCCTGCCTCTGCATCCCTTAATTAGCCACAGCCATTAGCGACAATTTTATAGAGCATTATGCATATAGGAAGATACAAGAGAGAATCATCACTAATTAGAGAAAATTATCAGAGAGAGAGAGAGAGAGAGAGAGAGAGCATCTATGATTATATTGCTTTGTAATTTGCATAATTCCCCAGCGGACACTTCATTGTGTGGAGCCTTTGTAGAGGTCTGTGAAGCTTTTATTGGCAAGCCTTACTGGCACGTGCACATGGTTTATTGTTGACTCCTAGGCTTAGCAGCTACTCAACCATACAGTTGAGTCACTAATGAATGAACTCGGAGAGACCCTCTGAACAAGCGCTAGATAGAGAGAGAGAGAGGGGGAAGAAAGAGAGAGAGAGAGAGAGAGAGAGAGAGGGGGGGGGGGTGCCTCTTGGACAGCGGTAGAGAGAGAGAGACAAAGAAACTGGGATGAAAGGGACCTGAGCATATAAAAGGATTGTGTATGTGGCCCAGAGAGTAACAGAATCAAACAGGCAGTTGTTTGGAGTGGTGTTCATCCAAGTCCCTGGTTCATCATACCAGTGTGCAGATGTGAGGATGAGTGATGAGGAGGAATTGGCCCGCAATTGGATATGGATGTGGTGGTAGAAGATGATTTGCAGCCCTGGGTTGGAGATAGGGCTAGTACTACTAGTTGGAGAAAATGGAAGATCATGCTAGCCATCATGGAGTTGAATTGTATGATTTAGTGATTGCAGTGAAAGCGTTGATCAAAATCTCACTTGCTATTGCACTGGGAAGCTTTAGGCAGACCTTAGGATGGTGGAAAGAAAGGTTCAAGAGACTGAAACTGGGGGACTGGTTTTATCATCATCTTGTACTGCTTCATCTGAGAGAAGTAATTTGGTGTCCAGATGATATTTTATGGAAATAGCTGTCATGTGGATAGCTCTTTGCATCATGTGTCAGTTTTGTGGCAAAGAGCCCTAACAAAGAAGTTGCTGGAGTGACTTGAGAGCTTTGTGCAGTTTCCATGATGACTTTGCTTTTCCTATTTCAACACAAGATGTAGCTAGCCTAGAATGGTAAGTCTGACTTGAAGGATGAGCTTTCAATACTGTAGAAATATAATTTACACCATAGGTGTTTTTTAAAACTTATTTGTATTACAGTGATTTTAGAGGAGATTTTGTTGAATTCAAAGAGTGCTCCTAATAGGTTTGAATCAAGTTATTGTTTTTTTATAGTCATGTGAGTAACAATGAAGAAAGTAGACTTACTGATTGTAGAACTTATAACTTTTTTTTTAAATAGATGGCTCAGAATGTTTACAAATCCAATTTATTTATTGACTGTATTTGCTTTTTAGCTTTGAAAGAAATATTGTGTGTTTGCTTGATTTCTCATCATCATTACTTCACCATCGTGCAGTTCCTTCTTTGTGTGACCTTTCTGGAAGTATTTGCGGTCTTCATTATGTAGATTTAAAATATATTCTTGTATGTAAATATGTTCTTTTCAGGATAATGTCTATGTTGATTGTTGGAATTTTGATATGATGATACATTTCCATATAAACTGTATTTGAAAGTAGCATCTGGATCTTGTAACACTAACACCTATATGACCTTTGCTTTGCTTGCTCTCTCACTTCTCTCTGTCTCTCTCTGTCTCTCTCTGTCTCTCTCTCTCTGTCTGTCCGTCTGTCTCTCTCTGTCCGTCTCTCTGCTGCTCTTTATTTTGTTTGGTTTTAGCCCTCCTTTGTCATTTGCCTGAAACCCTTCCACAGACAATCTGTCATGGTCATACAATTGTATCCCACTCCCGTATCCTTTGTGGTAGGTATTTGTTTAGCCATTGGCCTGCCACGCGCCCTCTCATGAACAATAGAATTTGGGAGCAGGCTGTCCACAAGACCCAACAGTCTTTTAAAACCGGCGATTGGTGAGCCAGTTTTGTGCCCTGTTATAGGCAGATTTAGCATGAACCTGTGGTGTTCCTAAATGGAACTGTTCATGCAACCATTATTCATTTTTTCCATTTCCAAGCTCTGCTGAGCACCTCTCGTAATGCAGCACTTTAACTCCTCTTCTCCCCTCCTTTTAACTTATCTCTTTCTTCTCTTTCTTTCTCTCTCTTGCTCTCTCTTGCTCTCTCTCTCTCTCTCTCTCTCTCTATCCTACACGTAAACACACACACACACACACACTAGATATATATATATATATATATATATATATTTGTGTGTGTTTTAGTGTATATCTCACTCTCAGTTATATCATTTGTCCTTGGTCTTTAATTAAAAAGTGGAATATTGGTGCACCACATGCCACAATACTCTCACCAAACAAAAGAGAGTACAACTGTACTAGTTGATATTCACAAGATAGTTTTAAGAACTAGTGGTCTAGAGTGATTTTTTTCTCATCCAATGCTTTGATAATCTTTAGATCATTTTTGAAATGGATAACTATTAACCATAATCCCCATTGTGTTTGTTCAGTACATGTAGTGCAGTATATTTAACTGAATCTTTTACCTTCTGTTAATTTCCTAACATCTGCCTTAGCTTCAGTCACTTGTGTGGCTTTGCTATCTATGATCAGATGATGACCCAAACAATTAAAGTCCATTTGGGCCTGGAATATAGGCTGCAGGGGCAGGTGGTGACTTACGTTGGTCTTGTCATTAAATCAGTCTGGGTATAGTTTTATCAATTCCAGTCAGGCAAAAATTACTTATGCAAAACTATTAATTACTCCACTGCTTAGAAGATAGCATACAATGCTTGTAGTTAACTTGATCTTCTTATTACACTATTTTATATAAAAAGGGTATGTAGTTATCTTGCAGTGTGCAATAGATGAGCTATGATAACAATAAAGTAGAACTCTATGTGTGTCTCCACTATATTCATGTTTATTTGTATTGACAGGATTGTCATGCCTAATGGAAGTTCCACTGAAAATGTTATTACTTTTCTCAAAATGATTTCTTCCTCTTTAGAATGCTGGTGGGATCATTGGAAAGGAAGGTTTAAACATCAACCAACTTAGAAAGAAGGTTAGTTTATCAAACTACCATAAGAACAAACAAACAAACACGAAACATGAATATTTTTCATAGTCAAGTTTTTCTTCTGTAGCAACTTCTTTTGGTCACTTTGTAAAGGGCAGTATTTCAATAGAAATGTAAGACTCACCTTGACTGTGTGTGCTTCTGAAAGACACATTCTTGGCATTATTTGGCTTATTTATGGATGTACCTCCTAAGTTTCAGTTGTCATGATTTAATATACGTCAGATAGCTCTTTCTTTATTTTTTGTAAAATATTCTTTTCTTTGTCTACATTGGTACTATGCAGATAGAGAGTTATCTATAATTATAGCTTGATGATTTATTTTTATATCTCATTAAAGCTCATTGGGTTAAAGATATTTTTAGTGGTTGAAGCAAGTTTTTTGTTGGGTCCCAAAGAGAATTTATATTCTTCTCTCTTTCTCTGTACTGGGCAAAATCTGATTATTTTTACCTCATGTCCAATCCATATTTTTTTCTTCATATTTTGTTAAGGAAGAATAGAAGCCTAATGCATGTACAAAACAAATAATTATTACATTTGCCTCTCCAATTCACTCCAAATTCAAATATAAAAAGTACTTGTCCCTTGCCCTGACGGCTTGATGGCCATTCTTTGTCTTATCCTCCCTCCACGCTGACCCTGGCCCGATCCGATCCGATGTCTTCTCCGTCCCACCTCCGATACGAACCGGTCCAAATCGATCCTTCTACCATGGGATGTACGTTGGATCCTTCGTTGCTACAATGACACTTGACAACAACCTAATTTATACTGGGGCATATACCTTTCATTCTTTTATTTGGCTAAAATTTTAACTTTTTTCTAAATTGACCTGAAGCTTGAACTATTTCATTCAAATTTGTTGTCCAATAAATCTATCAATAATTGATTTGAAACAATTTCTTTCCATCATTGGACTTTCATTTGATTCGAAACTGATACCATTGTGGCCCGTTTTGTTTGGACCTGACTTATTTCATTTGAACCTACTCAATGACCCTGGTCTGAACTCACCTTGATCTTTTCCAAACAACCATATCTACACTTGATCGTTCTCCGTCCATCCAATCATCCGCCCAACCATCCACCCAACCCTGCCCGCCCGCCCATTCGCCCGCCCGACCTGATGCTAATCTGATCCCGTCGGATCTGATCCCTATCCGGCCCGTACTCAAACCACCTGGTCTGGCCCGACCCGAACCGATCCATGGTCCGCCCTTCCAACCCACCAGTACAATGCCACCATAACAGTGCCCGACTGCAGTGGGCCAGAGCGGTATGTCCCACTACTGCTTACTAGTAGCTTAATCAGTACACATTTCCCTTTTTCTAATTGATATGAGTTCTGTTGTCATTTCAAGATATTCATGTATTTACAGGTGCTTGCTATTTTTTCTGTGTCTCTTTGTTGTTTATGTAATATTCAATTTTCCTTGGGTTACAGAAAGTTTAGCATGCACAGGGCAGTGTATTTTAGGTTTCAAGTTTATTTATTTGTAAAGGCATCATCATTGTCTCATTAATTGTTGTTTGTTCAGCCCAGTTGATTTGTCATTTGTGTTTCAACCTGCATTTTCTTGTTTGCCATGAAATGCAATTTCTTCATTCAGTTTTCCTTACCTATTTAGCACTATTAAAAGCATATCAATTTATATGAAACTATCAGTAAAAGATCAGCTGTTGTGTTATATTACATTTGTCAATTGCTAAAATGAATCAATCTTTTGTGAATTTTTTAAAAATTCTTTCCTGTAATAAATAGACTATCAAAATCAATATTTTTTCTTCTAACTTTGTGGATAGATATCCTTTTAGATATTTGGAATGAAAATTTGTAAATTTCCGTTATTATCCTTTTGTTATTCAAATGATTTTCTTTGACATTGCATGTGTTTTCCCACCACTATTCATCCCTTGCTTCCTTGTCCTGTTTACTGATAAACCTGTGAGGACAATAAAAAGTAGATTCAGTCAGAAATTACAGCAACAAAAATGAAACAGTAAAATGACAATTAAAGGGGAAGTCCACCCTGATATTGAGTTGGTTTTAATAAAAGCAGAAAAATAAGAGAAACAGGTCAATAAAAGTTTGAGCAAAAACTGATTGAAATTAAGAAAGTTATGTATAGTTATTAGGTGTGGTCAATTAAACTTACATTTGCGACTCTCTAACATATCTGGCGAGGTACCTTCCCTTTTGCCCTGTACTAAAAAAGTTCAAAAATTTACATTTTCCCTTAAGGAAATTCTCAATCATATATTCACCTTAAATATAATTACTGCAAACATGTTTTTATAGGACCTCCTGTATGACACAAGTCTATTCTGTCATCAATAACTAAGAACAAAAAAATTGTTGAAAGTTTCATTGGAGAGGAGCTTGCAAGACATGTCATAGTATTGCCAATTTGAGATCACTGATGACAAAGTGATCAAAACTTTCATATTTAACTGGTATTGCTTGAACTTTCACTAATTTCTTGTTCTAATTTTTCTGCTGTAATGAAAACCAAGATAATATCAGGGTGGACTTACCCTTTAATTTTCATTTGACCGTTTCATTTATAGACAACTACTCTAAAAGAAAGCAGAAAAATCAGAGAATCAAACTGATGAAAGTTTCAATTAAAACTGACTAAATATAAGAAAGTTATGAATTTTTGAAAGTTGTAATCACTATACGTATGAGCACGGCTGAAGCAGTAATGTCAATGTAATGTAGTGCCGGACTACTTTGCCATCTGCTCCAAAATATAAAATGACTAAAATTTAAATTTTCAAAAGTTCATTGCTCAAGAGGGTCAATTCTTTTCAGAGGACCAACAATAACATGCTATCTATAATATATTTTGAGTAGTGCCCAAATGGAGAAGGAACTTTGGAGAAAAACAGAAATTTATGATATTTTTGTACATGGCAAACAGAAGATTTATCCAAGTCCTACGTCACAATCTACTGACCGAACTATCAATTTGTGATTCACATAGACTTAATGATCTCGTATTCACTTCATTTCATTTCATTCATTCATTCATTTTTATTTTTTCAATTCCAACAAAATACAATACATTCATAACTTCATTACAATTGGTCCAAATCATTTCAAACTTTTGCCTCTCTGTTTCTGTTATTTTTCTGCTTTCATACAAATCAACTAATTACAAGGGTTGGATTGCCCTTTAAAGACATATTTAATTGGGTCCCTTCCCATAAAGAGTCGCAATTGATTTGATTTACCTTAACTTGATATTAAGCACAACTCCTATTTCTTTAGAATGCAGTTGCGGTCTATTTGAATCAATTACTACTCTTTCTAATACAGGGCCCAGGTTAGCAACGTATCACCCAGATAGTAAACAAATAGTCCTAATTTTTTCTTTTAATGCCAGCTAACAAAATTAATTGATTGATTAATTGGTTTTTATTGCATGTTAGAAACAAGGGTAAAATGGCATGTGTTGAAATAGTTTCATTTCTTTTTCATCTCCTTTTCCCAAATTAAGCACAACTTCCTCTTGTAGAATAAGAATATTTTTCCCTTTGCTTTGTCGCTTTATTGGAATTATTTCATTAAAAAAAACAAAGAAGATGCAAAGAAATAAAAAGATAAATCTAACATTTTTAATATTGTACATTGCTGACATCTTTTAATCACCTAATCATATATATCATATTAACATTTTTATTGATGCTTGCTTAACATTATCAATTGAATTTGACATATTTTTCTTGAAATAGTACTAGATCATTTCCACTTTTGTGTGCTTCATTGAGTATAATTTTGTAGGATTATTTTTCTTGGCAGCATCCTTACTGTTACTACGGATATGGAAGCAGGTTTGGAATGCATCCAGGACATCATCCCCGTATTGGATGAGGTAAGATTCCTCCTAGTTTATAACAATTTACTATATATCAAATTGTCTAATTTTGAAGACTCTATTGAGCCATACTGACCTTAATGCCTTTTATCATTTGCAATCATATAATTATAATAAAGAAGAATTCATGAGGTAATATATTTGTCAGTTTCATACTTTGTTAGCATAAGTTAATGTTTTGATATGTTTTTTTCTTCAATTTATTTCTTACATATACATTGGAAAAGTAATTTCTTGCAAACTTTAAACCCAGCCTCTTAGAGGGAGATGGATTGACTCATAACATTATGATCAATACAATTTTATAACAAAATGGAAACAAAAGTACTTGTATTGAACAATTAAAATATAAAACATAATAGAAAAATTAATAAAATATGCATTCAAATAAAATCTGTAGACACAGCTTGTATAAAATGAATTTGCTCTTTGGAATGCAATGAGTTATCACTTCTCCCAAGAAATAGACAAAAAGGAAGGAGAACAAAAAGTGGTGAATACAATTTAGAGAGATGGTGGTAAAATGGCAGGGAAGCAGATACTGTGTATCCATCTATGTTAATGATCATGGCGCCTACGGGTCAATAGTTGAAGAGCCATGCATGCAGCCATTGGGAAGATTCCTCATGGGACTGCTTTGGCAAAAGCAAGGAAGGATGGAATTACAGTGGAGCTGGGTAATGTCAGCCATAGCCTGCCCGTTAGCGTGCACTCGGAACAAACACCATGCCTAGCTAAAAGCATGGATGTAATACATTTTTATGTGGCTTCACAGTTTCAGTGTGTTAGAAATAAGGAAGACATTACAGACTACAAGTACCTTAGAAGTGCATACCTTATTACTAAATATATATATATATTTTTTAGGGGGGGGGGGGGGGTAATGGGAATGTAACACCAATTTGAATTAATTATTATAAAAAAGATCTGTATGGTATTTGCCTGTCTGCTTCTCAAAACATCTTCATCTAAATGTGTAAGGTACATGCAATCCAGCTTTCCAATTGAATATATCTATCAAACAACTAAAAAAAAGGAGTATCAGAAATCTCTCATGTTTTATTAGAAATACATCTAATAGTTCTTACTCCATTTTATATCTAGAATCCAAATCATATTCATGAAAGTGGTGAGGTATATTAATATTATTTAAACTAGTTATACAGCAGATTGGAGAGAGGTTGGTCTTTTTATGGAAGATTATGTTAATTTGTGGCTATTATTGATTTCTCTGGAAGGGAGCTAGAAAAAAGGGATTCCATAATGCTAAACCATTTTACCACTTTACAGACTTGCTGTTTTGATAGTACATGTAGTATAAATGATGATAAGTTGACTGAATGGATACTTTTGGCTTAGGCTGGGTGATGGTTTAATCCTTTGTTTGGCTATTGATCTGTGAATGAAGGCAAGCTTTTCATCTCCTTCAAGAAGATGGTTGAATTCTCCCTTGTTCATCATTTATTTTCATTTTATTTTAGGTGGTTAGATATTTTGAGTGATTTATAAGAGATTTTTGAGTGAAAATTACACATCTGGTAATTTTTGTTTGAGAGCTTTTTCATGCGAAGGACAGACATGGGACCCCACTTATGTCATGCTTGGAACATTTGTGTGACTTTGCATAGGGGAGATGGATGGTAGAAAGCAAAGAGCGACATTGCCTACAAAGAATTAAAGGGAAAGAAGGGATTTTTTTTTTTTTTTTGGGGGGGGGGGGGGCGGGTGAGCTGTTGAGGGGGTAGAAAAAAAGGAAAGAGATTCAAAATTGACACAAAAATGACAAATGAAGGGTACATTACTGCAAATCAGAAGATTCCTTTGGGAAAAGTCTTTCTCACATTGTTTACATTCTCATATATTCAAACAAATAAGTTTTTACCCTTCAATATCTCCTCATCAAAAATAATATATGCTTTTATCTGCAGTAGCTTTTAAACCAACCTAGTGAATACCATGTTTAGTTTCTTGTCCCTCCTTGCATTTGATCTCTGATTTGACAACCTTCTCTTACATCTATAATGTCTTCTTGTATGCTTGGCTTGCTGTATGCTTGGCTTGCTGTCGACCTGGTGATGAATGAGCCAATCACTGATCATGCTGTGTTCAAGCAAGCAAGCAAACAAGCAAGGCAAGGCAGGTTCTTGCTGCTCAGTTTATTATCTGCTCCAATGGTTGCTTCCCCAACCGGTTCGTGACTGCATGCCTGCAAGAGGGGAACCAGCCGTCTGTTTAATGCTGGAATTTGTTGGATGGTTCCCCCTCACTAGGTACCTGATGTATAAAGATGTAAATTCATCTATTGATTCGAGAAAAAGGACGCTAGAAAGGTCATCGCTGTAGTCAATGATGGAAGAAAGTGTCTAAACAACATTTGCATGAATTGTATTAGTACCATGTGAAAGGATAATGCATATGTTTGCCTCATTACACTTCAGGCTGTCTCCTGATATCCAATTCCTTCTTTTTTGGTCTGTCAAGTCAATATTGGCTATCATATATAACTCTAGCACTTACACGACTTCATTTGGACTTTCTATGATACACCATAAAATATGTTAGATTCGGTAATGAAATAGTCATATGAGATTATTCTCAAATGTGTTGTGCATTTCCATGGAATCGGATATCTTTTGGCGAGTCTGGTTCATATTACATTGATATACATTATACAGCCACATTATTTTTTGTCAAAAAATGAAAGAAAAGAAAACACTCTCAAATCCCTAGATTTTACCTTTCATTTTTGAGCTTTTAGTTGTGAAAGAATGCATCGTTTAGTTTCTTGGATTTAAAGGTAGCATGCTCACACACAGCTTGATGACATCTTACCTGAAAGCCCTGCTCTATGCTTTGTGGCACCTGGCTCCTGGCCTCCACTCTCCAATCTATCATACCACAAACTGTCTGAGTTGCAAGTATCCATCTCTCAACTTGTATGAGAGCTCCCGGCCTCCACTCTCCAATCTAACATACCACAAACTGTCTGAGTTACAAGTATCCATCTCTCAACTTGTATGAGAGCTCCCGGCCTCCACTCTCCAATCTAACATACCACAAACTGTCTGAGTTACAAGTATCCATCTCTCAACTTGTATGAGAGCTCCTGGTCTCCACTCTCCAATCTATCATACCACAAACTGTCTGAGTTACAAGTATCCATCTCTCAACTTGTATGAGAGCTCCCGGCCTCCACTCTCCAATCTAACATACCACAAACTGTCTGAGTTACAAGTATCCATCTCTCAACTTGTATGAGAGCTCCTGGCCTCCACTCTCCAATCTAACATACCACAAACTGTCTGAGTTACAAGTATCTATCTCTCAGCTTGTATGAGAGCTCCCGGCCTCCACTCTCCAATCTAACATACCACAAATTGTCTGAGTTACAAGTATCCATCTCTCAACTTGTATGAGAGCTCCTGGCCTCCACTCTCCAATCTAACATACCACAAACTGTCTGACTTACAAGTATCCATCTCTCAACTTGTATGAGAGCTCCCGGCCTCCACTCTCCAATCTATCATACCACAAACTGTCTGAGTTACAAGTATCCATCTCTCAACTTGTATGAGAGCTCCTGGCCTCCACTCTCCAATCTAACATACCACAAACTGTCTGAGTTACAAGTATCCATCTCTCAACTTGTATGAGAGCTCCTGGCCTCCACTCTCCAATCTAACATACCACAAACTGTCTGAGTTACAAGTATCCATCTCTCAACTTGTATGAGAGCTCCTGGCCTCCACTCTCCAATCTAACATACCACAAACTGTCTGAGTTACAAGTATCCATCTCTCAACTTGTATGAGAGCTCCCGGCCTCCACTCTCCAATCTAACATACCACAAACTGTCTGAGTTACAAGTATCCATCTCTCAACTTGTATGAGAGCTCCTGGCCTCCACTCTCCAATCTAACATACCACAAACTGTCTGAGTTACAAGTATCCATCTCTCAACTTGTATGAGAGCTCCTGGCCTCCACTCTCCAATCTAACATACCACAAACTGTCTGAGTTACAAGTATCCATCTCTCAACTTGTATGAGAGCTCCTGGCCTCCACTCTCCAATCTAACATACCACAAACTGTCTGAGTTACAAGTATCCATCTCTCAACTTGTATGAGAGCTCCTGGCCTCCACTCTCCAATCTAACATACCACAAACTGTCTGAGTTACAAGTATCCATCTCTCAACTTGTATGAGAGCTCCCGGCCTCCACTCTCCAATCTAACATACCACAAACTGTCTGAGTTACAAGTATCCATCTCTCAACTTGTATGAGAGCTCCTGGCCTCCACTCTCCAATCTAACATACCACAAACTGTCTGACTTACAAGTATCCATCTCTCAACTTGTATGAGAGCTCCCAGCCTCCACTCTCCAATCTAACATACCACAAACTGTCTGAGTTACAAGTATCCATCTCTCAACTTGTATGAGAGCTTCCGGCCTCCACTCTCCAATCTAACATACCACAAACTGTCTGAGTTACAAGTATCCATCTCTCAACTTGTATGAGAGCTCCTGGCCTCCACTCTCCAATCTAACATACCACAAACTGTCTGACTTACAAGTATCCATCTCTCAACTTGTATGAGAGCTCCCAGCCTCCACTCTCCAATCTAACATACCACAAACTGTCTGAGTTACAAGTATCCATCTCTCAACTTGTATGAGAGCTTCCGGCCTCCACTCTCCAATCTAACATACCACAAACTGTCTGAGTTACAAGTATCCATCTCTCAACTTGTATGAGAGCTCCCGGCCTCCACTCTCCAATCTAACATACCACAAACTGTCTGAGTTACAAGTATCCATCTCTCAACTTGTATGAGAGCTCCCGGCCTCCACTCTCCAATCTAACATACCACAAACTGTCTGAGTTACAAGTATCCATCTCTCAACTTGTATGAGAGCTCCTGGCCTCCACTCTCCAATCTAACATACCACAAACTGTCTGAGTTACAAGTATCCATCTCTCAACTTGTATGAGAGCTCCCGGCCTCCACTCTCCAATCTAACATACCACAAACTGTCTGAGTTACAAGTATCCATCTCTCAACTTGTATGAGAGCTCCCGGCCTCCACTCTCCAATCTAACATACCACAAACTGTCTGAGTTACAAGTATCCATCTCTCAACTTGTATGAGAGCTCCCGGCCTCCACTCTCCAATCTAACATACCACAAACTGTCTGAGTTACAAGTATCCATCTCTCAACTTGTATGAGAGCTCCCGGCCTCCACTCTCCAATCTAACATACCACAAACTGTCTGAGTTACAAGTATCCATCTCTCAACTTGTATGAGAGCTCCCGGCCTCCACTCTCCAATCTAACATACCACAAACTGTCTGAGTTACAAGTATCTATCTCTCAGCTTGTATGAGAATTAGGTATATTCCAATGATATGATTTTCTTCTCCATGATGAATGATATTTATCATACTTGGACTTATATTTGATTATTCGCATTATAAGGAAATGTGCATGGGTTCCATTTGGATATCAATTGTTTATGATTTTTAGCTTGCATAGCAATTTACAGTGCAGGTAAGAGCACAATATTATCACCTTTAAAAGGAAAGACTTTTGCTTGCAGTAATGTGAATACATTAATCATGTACTCATCCTGACATTTAATCCAACAGAACAAACAGAATCCTGAGCATTGCTCTGTACGTGTGTTGGTCCATCAGAGCTTAGCTGGAGCTATCATTGGTAAAGAAGGATGCAAGATCAAGGAAATGAGAGAAGTAAGTAATACAGTGATCCATTATCCTAACCCTAACCCTTATCCATACAGTGATCCATTATCCTTACTAGATGAGAGAAGTAAGTAATACAGTGATCCTTACTAAACAGCACACTTTGTATTTTCAATTGGCAGGAAATCCTGCCCAAGAATTCAAATGTTTCATATATTCTTGCGCAATAAATAAAAGCTTATTGGTAAATTCTAGAAATTATAGAGTAATACTATTCTTGCAGTGAAATTCATTGAGAGTGAAACAAAGAACTAAACCTCCCAAAATGACTCGTGAAATATGTTGTGGCAATTATTTGTAAATTTAGTGCATAAATTCTTTAATAGCATAAACGCTATTGCCATACTGTACAGCTTTCCAAAACTATTTATTGCAGATAATTTCGGTACAGCTAGAATGTAATAAATCGATTTAAAGAAAACAGTTGAGTGTAGGAATGGAATACAAGATCCTGGCAGTGGTAGGATTTGAATCTTTGGTGTAGGAACACTGCATGGTGGTAGTGATGGGATCATCTTGTTATATTGTTTAGTGATTTTTTTGTGTTGGAACACAACATGGTGGCAGCAGTGGAATAATAGGCTGTTTTGATTGCTTGTCATGCTAGTGGTCAGCAGTTGTATCAATTAGTATGATATTTTGTATTCTTTTAGCAAATTGGAGCTCACATCAAGGTTTACTCTGACGTATGTCCCAACTCGACTGACAGAGTTGTTCAGGTGGGAGGGATGCCAGACAAGGTCATTGATGCTATGCGAGAGCTTCAGAAACTTATCATCACGGTGAGTTATCACTCTAGCCTCTTCAAGTTGCAAACAATTATGATTTTCTTTCTTTTGTGTACATTTAGGATTCCAAGATAGTTGATGTAAAAATTATATGAATTATACTGAATAGAAAGCATTTTGTTTAGTATGTGGCAATTAACATGGACAGATATTGAGATGGACAGATTAAGTACACGCGAGTAAAGTAAGGTTAGCAATTAAAATCTGTATAACTATTAGAAGTGCACAGAAGTCTGGTACTGTTTTTACCCTTTATTTGTTTTGCAATTATGGGAGTGAAGTATTTTATTGCCCAAAGCTATCTTTTTTTTAATTGACTGATACATTTGGAGGAAGGTGCAAATTGGTTGATTTTAAGTAAGATCAATGAAATAAAATTAAATGTTGAAAGGTCGACTAGAATAATATTGTTATCTCTTTTTCTTCATTTTTTTCTTCACAGACACCTATCAAAGGCCCAGCCCAGTCCTATGACCCTTATTGCTTTGACACCTTCTATGCCCTCAACTATGGAGGCTACACTGGTCCTGATAACAAGAAGATGGGAGGAGGTGGGGGAGGAGGTGGAGGAGGAGGGGGCATGGGGCGCAACGTGGGCTACAGAGGAGGTCGGTATGGAGGTGGTGGAGGAGGACGTTCCATGGGATTCGACTACATGGGTGGTGGTGGTGGAGCATATGGTGGAAGGGGGCTGTTTGGACAACCCCCAATGGGTGGCATGGGCGGAGGAAGGAGAGGAGGAAGAGGAGGAGGAGGAGGGGGAAGAGGAGGGGGACCACCACCAGCAGCAGCAGGGGGAGGAGGAGGGAGAATGCCAGAACCACTGTAAGTTTTCTCTTGTTGGAACCTTGAACTTCTTTAAGATACTTTTCTGTTTTAAATCGCTTCCATAATTACTCTTATATTGAACTGCCTTCATTGGTCTATCTTTTTGTAATATTATATAGACATATTTAGTCAATTAGACGGATCAAATTATTCTTAGGCCTCATTCCCTTCTTTTATTTGTTATGTGGTCGTAAAAGTTTAGAGCTCCAATCAAATCAGAATTTAATAATTGTACTTCATCTAAAACTTGATCTTAATCTACTTCTCTGAATGAATTGAAGGAGACTAATGGTACTTCTTTGTCTTTATTTTGATCTCCTTCCTCTTACAGTGCACTTGGATTTGGAAATGTAAGTACTTATTCAGTTTATTTATACTTTCAAGAGAATCAGAAGGTGTGAAATTTCTAGGGGGATATTTTAGTTTGTAATGATTTATTTATGCAATGAGCTGCATGATGAAGTGAATTTTTTGGTTATTAATAATACCTACATAATAATGTTAATTCCTTTGTGCCATTAACTTAACAAGCGGTAATAATGATTTTTTATTTCAATGTTTGAATGAGGTTAAAATATCCTCCATGATAAGAAACTACAATCAATGTACATTATACATTTTGAAGAAAACAGAATTATATATTTGTAGTTCAGATTTATACAATTCAAGAATTTATATGAGAGATTTACCACCATGGCATAGAGGAGAGCTTAGAAATTATTTTCCAAACTTAAATGTATATGCATCCTAACTGACATGAATAGACTTCAGTGAGCAACTGTACATATGATATAATGCAAGCTAGCATCCCATACACTTGTAGATATTGAGAGGAAATATCACATAATATGTAGTTTAGTGTGCTTACACTTTGTGGATAATTGATGTCCGTGGAATATCTCTTAAAATACTAGCATGTATCATGACAATTCTACAATTTTGAAAAAAAAATGGTAAGGGGGATAGGTAGAGAGATAGTTGAATAGTTCTGAGGGTATTCAGCTGTCTGAGTGGATGCTTGAGTAGCTCTTTGGTCCCTCTCTCTCTTTCTCTCATTAAAAACAAGGAGAGAGGTAAACAAAAAATATGAAAAATGGAGGAAAGCCTGTCATTTTGATGGGTGGATAAGAGCCCTGGAGCTTCTTTCCATCACTGTCCTCTTATAATGCAAAAAGATACCCAGATATTCATCATTTGCATATTGGCATTTACATTGCACCAGGCACCATTTCCTAATACTCTATGTATTTTGCCCTGGCAGAGAGAAGCCATGGGATAAGCTCCGTAAGCACTGCTGTGATTAACGGCAAATCTCAGGGGATTTAAAGACCTGATTAGTATGCAGATTACCTTCCTTTCTCAGCATTTGCTGTATACATTTCATTTTAAAAATATGAAATATAAGGGTTCAACAAAAACTGAATTCTGAGATATGTAACAGTATGAAGAGTTTTTTTTTATTTAAGTTCTTTTTGGAGGATGCTCATGTTCTGAGATTGTTAAAAAACTTTGCCAATTTGATTTGATTTGATTTGATTTATTGGTTTCTGCATCTTTTTTCTTTTTTTCATCATACATTTTCATGAACATAATATGGCTTGATACAATATTTCAAGTGTATATAATTTTTATACAGATAATAAACGATATTAAACACATATATTGAATTTAAACAAATATATTGAATGGAAATTAACATACATTAGATGCAGGAGGGCTGCAGTAATAAGCAAAGTAGCTTGACGTGCCGGCAGCCCTCAACTTAGATACAACAATACAAATAAAAATAAAAAAAGAGTGACTTGCAGAGAAGAAAAGGAAAGGGGAGAGAAGAAGGAGGAGGAGGAGCGTTGGTAATAATACAATAAATCTCATACAGCTGCTGATTGAATACAGGTTCATTCATGAATGGAAAAAAAAAAAAAAAAAAAAATATGTGGTTAATTTGTATGAGATGACATGAAGAAATGCAAGGAGAAAAAAACCATATGCCTGCATCTGACTTATTAAGGGTAATCAGGAAAAATTCCACAACTTCTAAAAGCATTTTCCAGGGGATGTACTTTTGAATTGCCTACAGGTATATACACTTGTACATGTACATGTATTTCATGAAACAGTATATTTGCTATAAGGGTGTATTGCCTTTCACTTTAAGTGCTTTTAAAGCATAGGTTAAATGGATATTTATGATCTAAGGACAACTACCACTGCCACCATTGCCAAATGTTTAGTTGGTATAAAATGAATTCTTATTCTCTTAAATTTATTACTCATATTCTTTTTGTGCACATTTCCATCATCTGAAGCCTTCTTCCTACTACTACCCCCTTTCTTCTCTTTCTCTCTCTCTCTCTCTCTCTCTCTCTCTCTCTGTTTGGCTTACTCATGCCACTGGGGGAACAAAACGTAAGAGCCTGGTCTAAAAAGGAGATCTATCTGTGAATATTTTAGGATTGACAAGTAGGCCCAGGGGTATTTATGCAACCACTTTGGTTGCTCTCATCCCAATCACCTCTAAGAAGGAAGGGAGGGAGGAAGGAAGGGAGATCTTCTTCTGACTTTGCCTATGATGTTATCACAGCTGTGTACAGAAGAGGAGGAAGGCATGCCACTATCAATTTCTCACTTACTTGTATCCTCATCCCCTCAGTATATTTGTCTTCCTCCCATTTTCACCCTTTCAATTTTTTTTTCTCTCGGTCTTTCACTGTTCTTCCAATTACTCATTCCTCTCTCTTTCTTGCTCCCTTTCTCATTTTTTCTTTCTTGGTTTATTTTTATGACGTACTTATCAACACAATCCCCTACTTTCTGTAGTTTTATTAACCAGTAGCAGTTCAGAGTTTCTGTCAGCTCTAAGTAAATCACTTTTTTACTCCTAAAATTGACACCAATTCCTACATATATGCTTATAAAATAAACCATTTTTGGAAGTGATTTCTGCCCTTTCTGCTCATGTACATTGAGTAATTCCTAGAATTATGTATGGCTGTCAAAGGAGACAGTGAAATGCTATGTCTTAACCTAAAGGGATGTTTATTTATACAATTTTTTACTCTTACTTTAGAATGTTTTATTTGTGCAATCACACTCTCCTTTCATCTTTCACTTTTTTAGACTGGACAAACCAACCTAGAATCCTTGGATAGTGAGTAGAAAATATGTTAATGCATCTCTTTATGATTTAGTTTACTTCAATACGGTCATGAGAAAAAAAAAGGGGGAATTTGCAGAAAATGAAGTAAACATACAATTTTACATTAAACTCTTTACCAGTGGGGAATTTATATATTAGGTCATAGTGGCGTTTCTATCTTTACAGACAGCAGAAACAGTTGCAGATTTTTCCTCTTTGTTTGAATTACACTTATAAAAGTACTTATTAGTATAGATGATCAATATCAAAATAAAGTAGGGTAAATAATAATATTAATAAGATATATATAAAATTATATTGCTAAAGTTGTAATCTTAAATTAGCAAACTGTAGTTAAACTGTCATTGTATGTAAATCCATGTATTGTTGCACCCGGTGTATGTGAAAAAACATGGAATAGAAATCAAGATATAATTTTTTTGCAATTTTGGACAAAGTATTTATCTTTGCTCTCCAACCACCTATGATATTAGTGGCAAAAATTGTAGACAAGACATTGAAACTTTCTCTGCTGTATTGAATAGAGAGAAAGTTAATTCTCAAGGTTTATTCTTTTCTATTGTCTTTGTTTCACTCTTATAGGTCCTGAGAAGACCACTCAAGTCACCATTCCTAAGGATGTAAGTTCTCAGCTTTACAACTAACAATTTCTTTATTGTTTGGTTAAGAGCTGTAAGAAGTGAATGGCTCACTCTGAATCACTTCTGTGTCACCAAATTCATGAGAACACTTTGAATCAACTTCTGACTAGGCATTTTTTTTCAGCTTACAGAACTATGATTTTTTTTCAACTTACAGTAGAAAAAAAATGCATTCAAAAAATATATCCTACATGATATTAATTAAGGGGTCATGCTATCTACCTGGACAAGTCAAAGGGGTCATGCTATCTACTTGTGCAAATCCAAAGGGTCGTGCTATCAACCTGGGCAAGTCAAAGGGGTCATACTATATACCTGGATAAGTCCAAGGGGGTCATGCTATCTACCAGGGCAAGTCCAAGGGGTCATGCTATCTACCTGTGCAAGTCCAAGGGGTCATGCTATCTACCTGGGCAAGTCAAAGAGTTCATGCTGTATACCCGGGCAAGTCCAAGGGGTCATGCTATCTACCTGGGCAAGTCCAAGGGGTCATGCTATCTACTAGGGCAAGTCCAAGGGGTCATGCTATCTACCTGGGCAAGTCCAAGGGGTCATGCTATCTACCTGGGCAAGTCAAAGGGGTCATACTATATACCTGGATAAGTCCAAGGGGGTCATGCTATCTACCAGGGCAAGTCCAAGGGGTCATGCTATCTACCTGTGCAAGTCCAAGGGGTCATGCTATCTACCTGGGCAAGTCAAAGAGTTCATGCTGTATACCGGGCAAGTCCAAGGGGTCATGCTATCTACCTGGGCAAGTCCAAGGGGTCATGCTATCTACTAGGGCAAGTCCAAGGGGTCATGCTATCTACCTGGGCAAGTCCAAGGGGTCATGCTATCTACCTGGGCAAGTCAAAGGGGTCATGCTATCTACCTGGGCAAGTCCAAGGGGTCATGCTATCTACCAGGGCAAGTCCAAGGGGTCATGCTATATACCTGTGCAAATCCAAGGGGTCATGCTTTCTACCTGTGCAAGTCCAAGGGGTCATGCTATCTACCTGGGCAAGTCAAAGAGTTCATGCTGTATACCCGGGCAAGTCCAAGGGGTCATGCTATCTACCTGGGCAAGTCCAAGGGGTCATGCTATCTACTAGGGCAAGTCCAAGGGGTCATGCTATCTACCTGGGCAAGTCCAAGGGGTCATGCTATCTACCTGGGCAAGTCAAAGGGGTCATGCTATCTACCTGGGCAAGTCCAAGGGGTCATGCTATCTACCAGGGCAAGTCCAAGGGGTCATGCTATATACCTGTGCAAATCCAAGGGGTCATGCTTTCTACCTGTGCAAGTCAAAGGGTCATGCTATCTACCTGGGCAAGTCCAAGGGGTCATGCTATCTACCTGGGCAAGTCAAAGGGGTCATGCTATCTACCTGGGCAAGTCCAAGGGGTCATGCTATCTACCAGGGCAAGTCCAAGGGGTCATGCTATCTACCTGGGCAAGTCAAAGGGGTCATGCTATATACCTGGACAAGTCCAAGGGGTCATGCTATCTACCAGGGCAAGTCCAAGGGGTCATGCTATCACCTGTACAAGTCCAAGGGGTCATGCTATCTACCAGGGCAAGTCAAAGGGGTCATGCTCTCTACCTGGGCAAGTCCAAGGGGTCATGCTATATACCTGGGCAAGTCCAAGGGGTCATGCTATCTACTAGGGCAAGTCCAAGGGGTCATGCTATTTACCTGGGCAAGTCAAAGGGGTCATGCTATCTACCTGGGCAAGTCCAAGTGGTCATGCTATCTACATGTGCAAGTCCAAGGGGTCATGTTATCTACCTGTGCAAGTCTAAGGGGTCGTGCTATCTACCTGGGCAAGTCCAAAGGGTCATGCTATCTACCTGGGCGAGTCAAAGGGGTCATGCTATATACATGTGTAAGTCCAATCTATTGTGTTCCAAAGGATGTAAAATAGCACTGTATTATGTATGATAACTGTATTAAGTTCAAAGCCTTAATAGAGTGCAGATCTGATTGAATGTTAAGTTACCCATTTTAAGTCATTTTTATGTTCAAAACTCTACAATAGTCGGTCACATGCACTGTATAGGACACAAAATTAACCTTGGGTTTGCTCCTTCAATATTCATAAGACAGTGTTAACATGAAAACTTTTTCCCTTTTAAAATGTTTATTTGTTCTCTGATTAATGTAAATGCCAAGCCTCACCTTGCTGCACTACATTGTCATTTATCAGTCATTTGAAACTTGAAACATTTTTTCATAAACATTCTAAAACTAAAATACTTTTTACTGTTACCTTTGATATAGAATGGTAAGGTTAAACTTTGAATAATGGAATTTGTTTTCTTCTAAGTTGCTGATTATCAAATGTGACTACGTAATAGAGCAAAGATAGTTTCCTCTCTTGATTGTATTTACATATTATTGAGATTGAAGTACAGCAAAGTATCAAGTGTACTCATGTCACAGTGAAGAGAAGTCTCTATATTTGTGGACTGTTCCACTTTTCAAGTCTATTTTTGTTGTGTCCTCACTCTTTTTCCGTTAGCATTACCATGCATTAGTAACAAAGATGGAAGTATTCCTCTAAATCTAGCTGTTTTGTTGCCATTATGTCTTTATTTTGTTGCCTTCAAAGCAGGAAGTTATGTGAATGTTATTATTCAAAAGAAAAAGATAGCAAAAAAAGAAATATCCATAAGATGTCAAAAATTATGATATTTTCTGTAACAATTATACGTTTGTCTGTTCTACAGTGTGCTGGAGCCATCATTGGGGCTCGGGGATGCAGAATTCGTCAGATCAGAACCCAGAGTAGGGCCACTATAAAGATTGAAGACTCCAAGCCAGATTCCAATGAACGCATCATTTCTATCACAGGGACAGATGAACAGATAGGCTATGCCCAGTACTTGCTCCAAGAAAGGTATGTCAAACTTGGGGTGGTGCTCAAGTACTCTCTCTGGTTTATAATTTCTTGGTGCCATTACCAAGCATGGGGACTTTAGAAAAAGTTTACTAAATACATATGAGAATGCATACTTTCAACCTCCAAAATTGCTATGGCCATCCCAAATCACCCAATGAGATGCAACAAGACCATATTGGCAAAACGTAATTGTGACAAACACTAAAGAAATGCTGACAACAAGCCTGATGATATTTTCTAGGGTTGTTCATTCCAAAATACTATGCAAAGCAAATGTGAGCATTATGACTATATCGGTCATAGTGACATTTTTTCATTGACTCGCTTATGAAAGAGTTCCTTTTAAACAATTGCATTTATTTACTGATGATTTTCATGTCACTTCACATGAATCTATCTTAGCTTATGTATTTAAATGAAAACAGACGAACAATCAAACAAAAATGTTTGATTTACCAATATGAAAATCATCTTGCTCTTGAGAAAGAGCTGAAAATAACAAAACAATCAGTAATAGAATGGACCACAAAATATCAGTTTTATGCAACCTTGAACAGTAAATTATTGATGCTACAACTGTTCTGCCTTAATGAAGAGGAATTCAACAAATAAACAATGAAAACAAAATGAAGACTACATTGAACTGCAGGTAGGAAGAACTAGTAAGTCATAATGAGAGAGATATAAAAATCTTGGAGTGGATATTCTTTGGGCTCCACTATCATGAAGCACTGCAAAAAAGTCACATACCTCTGGCCCTTTGGAAGACTAGTGATTTTGTTGTTGTGAATGTCAAAGAACTAACAAAAAATCACTGTCGGCCACTGGGGACAGAGGTCCATTCATCAGGATACTACCTAGGAGTGGCAGCTACCTCATCAATCCACATCTCAAAGATTCATTGATGTAGATCCCATCCTATACTCACTGAGCAATCATGGTCAATGCAAGTTCTCAAATGGTTGCATGATATGTAGTAACAGAGCTCAAAACTGGGCTTGGATGAGTTGATAGCAGTCAATGAATATTTATGCACCTGAATTTCGTTTTTTTTGTTTTAAATGTAGCTTTAAAGAGGAACACGGTTGTATGAAAAATACATCCATCACCAATAGGATCTAAATTCTGGGGATACAATGTTAATGTGTGACTTGTTTGGAGCAGAGGTAGAAGAAGATATGCATAGTGATGATAACAGTCAACTTTATACACTGCACTTAAATAGTTTGGTACACTTGTAATCAGAACAGAATTGTAAGAATCACCCACATGTTAATTATTATCAGATTTTTGGTACTGCAACAATTTGGTAATGATTTGAAGAGTGGACATAGGTGTTCAAGTTGACATCAATTAAAACAATTAAAAAGGGAGGCAATCGTGCATGAAAAAAGACCACCGACACCCCAAAATATAACACCCAGTGGATTGAGGAAGCCACTGGTATGGTCATTTGTGCCAGCATTTTTGCTCTTTCTGCATGTTGTCAAAGTTGGACCATTGTTTATACTGATGAATATTAAAGAAGTATTGACTAATAGGCAGTAAGCATTAGTTTACTCATGCAGAAAAATATTGTTTTCATCAAGAAGCACATCACATTTATTCCTACACTGCAATGCCTTTTGTTGTCTTATTTTTCATGGGGAAAAGTGGGATTAAGATACCGATACCAGCTGGGGCGGCCAATTATTTATATCCATTATTTTTTGTGCCCTTTTCTTGCTTTTTTTGTCCAGTCAGTTTATACACAGCTTTGAGGAATGTTTGGGTCGTTGTTCTGCTCTGTTTCTCAATCCTACTACTTGTCATCCAGCAGAACGACAAACCCAAACATTCCTCAAGGCTGTTTAAAAACTACTTGGAGAAAAATAAAAAGAGAAAGGGGTGCTAAAAAATCAGACTCAGGATCTGAATCCAGTAGAGCTGATATGGGAAGAGCTGGGAGGGGGGGGGGGGGGGGGGGGGGGGGGAGTGTCAGAGAAAAATGCCTAATAAGTGAGCATCATCTGTGGGAGATTTTTTGGAAGGAATGGAAAGACGTTTAATTTGACCACCTCCATAAGTTGATCAGCTGGATGCCCAGGTGTAATCAAGGTGTAAAACAGAACTCAACTATACCTTTAATGCCTATGAGTTTATAATTTGTATAAGTTCATCCGTACAAACGCACAGGTTCAAAATGTGATAGCACGCCGAAAAAGCAAAAATGCTGGCACAGCAAACGAGTTTGATATCAATTGTTGCAATATCACAAATGTGATAATAAATCAAATGTTCATTCATTCAATCGTTTATTCATTTCATTTTCATAACAAATACAGCAAAAGCAAATAAACATACAAGTATATATACATACAAAGGCAAAGAATTTTCAGTTTATGCGATAACTTCAAGTGAAATGTGGCTGATTGCAGGTGTACTCAAACTTTTGGAGGGAAGTAAACATCCCTATTGAGGTTATATTATACTAGGTTTGTCTAAGCTACCTAATAACAGTCTCCAGATTTATATCAATGTCTATTGGATTGGATTTTCTCCTATAAAAGCAACTTTATTGCAGAAAATTAATATTATTTTGTAAATAATTCATTTTGAATCACATACACTGATTCATGATATGTTCATGTTTCTCTTTTTCATCCTTTCATTGATTCTTTGCAGTGTGAGGAATTTCTCCGGTGCCAAATACTAGTGAGAGATACAAGGGGACATCTTCTAGCATCCAACTCAACTAGACAAATTTCAACCATCCTAAATATAAGGCTACCCTTGAAAAATCTGTGCCATGGAATGAACATTTTCTGTTCCTACTAATTTTTGTCTTTGTTATAGTTTCCAAGTCTATGTAGGTTTATACACACTTCCAGCTCACTTAATGCCACACTCACATACTAAAAATATACCTTACTGTCGAAAATTTGTATAATTCTAACTAGTAATTTTAATTTTAATCATTCGGCACAAATGAAAAGAAAATACTCATATAATTTGTATCCGTATCAATGCAACTTTTCATTTGTTTTTAAAGGCAAATTAGAAGTAAATGTTTTATGATATAATCAAAACTATTTTTATGGAATTAGGGTTAATAATGCATTCAGATTGTTTATTGTAGAAAGATTAAAAAAAACACAACTGTAATACCATTGGCTAGATATGAGATAGCATGTTTGAAAAACAAGCTGTTAGTCTTTCGTTGCAAGGTTGAGGTAAATATTTTTTCCTTCTGGAGACTGGAAAGCACAGCTTTAATCTAAATCAATGTTCTACAAATTTCATGGGCTCATTTTCCCCTTGATACAAATATTCCTACTTTGTGCATTTTATTGCTGCACCATATATTGAAATATCATGGTTGAATATTGTAGAAATTTTAATTTGTGAGATTCTTAATTGAAGAAAGGTTGTACAAGGCCCTTATACCCCCATCTCACTAAAAAAGCGACTGTGGTGATCTATGAAAATGTTGTTATGCATTGCAGAATCTCCCTCCAAACCCATTTTTGGCCAGTGAGGCGATAACACTACATAGCTTTACTGCGATCTACCTGCTCTGAAGGCAATTGCGATATGATGATAATATGGCGCTGTCACTTTCTCGCCCTATCTTGAGACCGATGAGATGTATTGCTTTTGCAATCAAAACGATCATAATAGCGGCTCATATGCTTATCAAGATCTCGCTACAGTTGTCCAGTGAGTAGGGTGAATGTAGCTTCATGCAGGGCTTCTGTGGTGGTTTGAGGCTATGAGAATAAAGTAATTTGATCATTTTGTTAAAGGAAGGAGCATGGTAGTGAATGGGCCTGAAAACACAGTTGGTCAGAGACTCTTTTAATGCCCTTGTAATACGCTGTCGGTGCTGCTGCCACATGTTAGAGCTATAAACATGTCATTAAAATACACTCTTGAGCCGACTGTGATGCACATTTCCACCTCAGCCTTCTCGCTTAGCACATTTTAAACATCTTCAAACAAGTGACCAGAGAGATGTTGGCGACCTTAGACGCTTCAGAAAGGCTCAAGATATGATAGAGAAAATTGAAAAGATCAAACCACGATCCACTACGCTTTGTCAATTTTTGGGGGATCAAAACAGAATCCTCTAGTGAGATGGAGGTGAAATTTATTCAATTCTTCATTCTTGAGGTACAAAGAATCCCCCAAAACATCAAGTTTACAAAAGTATGAGTAATTAAGTTAGGTGTTAACTGTACATACATCCATTGACCCAGTATAGATGTACATTTGCATGTAAACTTACATGTACCAAGAATGTATGTATATGATGCACAAATCTGTGATGAGTTTGACATTTCATTCAAATCATAATAAAGTAACACAGAGTGAAATAAAATACAATTTGTTTTTATTCTGTGAAGTAAATTTTTAATCAGGGCTCTACATTAATCCTTTTGAAAAGGGTCCCAAAAGACTCCCAAAAGACTCCCAATCGTACTTTGTGGAGCTTGTATGCATACATTCTATGTAAACATTTATAAATTATGGGGGTCCAGAGTTAGATTTTGGACCCCTTTGTATCCCAGTCCCTGTCACTGTTTAGTCCTGTTTTAATACACAGTATGTTTTCATTCATTTTTAAATTTTAACTCCATGTACTCTTATATTTAAACTTATTTTAAAATCATGTATTCTTATATTTCTTTTATATGAAAATCTTTTCCAATTGAATTTAAGTCTTTAGGTAAGAAAATCTATAAGATAAGACAAAGATATAATGAGAAAACTAAAAAAGAAATGGAATTTTTTTATCAGGTACATATAAATATGAAGTATTATCAGCTTACCTTTATATGTAAGTCATGGAAGGTAATACTTGGACTTGCCACATTTTAGCACATTGGAACATTATGAAGTTTGTTGTGGTGCTTGACCACATAATCAAATTATGATCTACCAGAAAAGTAAAACTTGTTATTGTGCTCATTTACTTTGCTCTCTTCAACTTTGCTGTACATAAAGAGCTTAAGAATTCCTGCAATAAATAATAAGATGAAGTAAAAGGAAGAAATTGAAGTCACAGTCAAGGCACTAAGGATTATTCAACCAACACTACAATATATTTTGTATTGATAAATCATGTTTAACTTGATTAGTTTGTATACCTTGGATCAAAAAATGTAATTAGTACAGAAACTTCAGTGAATCCTTGATGTCATTTTGTCACTCTTCTAAATTCATGCATTGAAGGAATAATAATTATACCGAGTAATTTCAGAAAATACAGCTCAAGGTGTATGTGCAAGTTTTGATTAAAACTGTCAAAGTGACTAGCTGTTTGAAATCAAACTGAAATTGAATTGATAACTCTTTATTAATAGATTTTTAATTTGTTCAAACATTATAAGGTAATAATTTGATACAAACTTAAAGTACTTGCTCCAAACTTGTACAAGAGTGCTCTGTGTAATTTGAATGTCTAATATGTAAGGATAAAGAACAATTTGTGAATCTAAGTCTGAAATGTCTTCCAATTTGAAAGGCATGTGAATAGTGAATACAAATTTTGAATTATGCTTGCAAAATATGGGTAAGTCGTCTTATCCCTTGTTTGATATATATTTCTAAATATATGTGAAAACACATTGTTTACACAATTTTATAATGAATTGAGAATTTCAATATATAATGAGAAAGCAAATATTCCTAATGTTTTTGTATGTGCCAGCTGACATTCTGTAATAAAGTTTTTACTATCTTTGTATCATGTACATTATTGACTTCGATTTGTTTTTTTCTTCTTGTCTCTTGTTACAAAAGCACATATGATTGATATTATGGGGCTTGTATGTACTAGGGTTAGAATACAATGGTAATTGAAAGTAATGAAAAATTTGTGATTTATGTCTTCCCCCAAATCATTTATGATATTGTTATATTTGTTTGGTAATATAGTTCTTATTTAGTCAATATTATCAATACTACAGTCTAGATCTCTGACTCAGACATGAGTTGAATAATACAAAGTTTGTTTTACTAGAATCGATAATTTGAAAAGAGTTGATTTGTTTTCTTCTTTAATGACATGATCAGGCGCGTACACAGGGGGGGGGGTGTTTGGGGGGTTAACCCCCCCCTTTGGTAATTTTTTGTTTAAAAAAAAAAAAAAAAAAAAAAAAAAAAAAAAAAGTGACCTCTTACCCCCCCCCCCCGCTTATTCAGCGGCTGGCTGAGTCGTTGCGAAATTTTCGGCCCGATTTATAAATGTTAAACCCCCCCCCCCCCCTTGAAAAAATCCTGCGTACGCGTCTGGACATGATCATTCTTATCATCTATCATTGAGATGAAACTCCCAGTGGATGATACATGTGATATAATCATGGGCGTCAATCCTTACATAATACTTATTGTTCAGGGGGGATGAATGAATAGATCACCCCCCTGAACAATAGGTATTACGTAAGGATTGACGCCCATGGATATAATACACGTCTTAATATAAAATATAGTAGAAAATATTATGTGAATTGACGTTGGTTAGCCTAAATAGTTTTCATGTAATATAAGATCGAGGCTTCTCTTCTTACAATTTAAGAAAAATGAAAGGATAATCATTGTATTGAAGAGTCGACTGAAAAAGTTCGTTAGTTAACGATAACTTGTTACAAGCGTTGGTAATCTCGACCTTAGCCAGTGAAGCTGAATTCTAAAGAGCGCATTTGGGTTTAGGGTTGTAGTTGCTGTGTTTCCATTCTTTTCCTATCTTTTCTTACGCTATCCTTTGTTTCTTTCTTCTATCATGTTCCTTTATGTTATTTATTGTTTTTTATATTCTGTTATTTTCTCTTTCTATCTTTCCTTATGTTATTTTTTGTTTCTTCCTTGTATCACATTCTCATGTTATTCTTTGTTTTATTATTCTATCTTTTTCTCTCTATCTTCCTTATATTATTCTCTGTTTTATTCTTATGCTGTAATCTCTTTCTCTCTTTCATTACTTTTCCACCAAAACACACTAATTTCTGGTTGAAGATATCTTCCTGGCACGGTTCATGTTCACACTGCACGCTAGATCGATCTGGGGTGATCTAGGAAGCAAACCCGTCCAGATGATCACTTCCTGGACCGCTTGTTTGTTTGCACTCACAATTGGACCGATCTAGCCTGGATCGGTCTAGGAAGTGAGTGAGAACGGGGTCCAACTCTAAATGTGAACAGACAAGCGGTCCAGGAAGCAATCTTCTCCCCAGACCGATCTAGCGTGAAGTGTGAACATACGCCGTGCTACGGAGCATTCTTCAACCGGAGGTGAGTGTGTTTTGGCAGGAAATTAATGAAAGAGAGAAAGAGATTATAGTACAAGAATAAAAACAGAGAATAATATAAGAAAAGATAAAAAGAAAATGAAAGAATGATAGAAATAAAGAATAACGTAAAAGAAAGGTGATATGAGAAAGAAATGAAGAATTACACAACAAAGGCAGAAACAGAAGGTGATAGATTGCTAGAAAAATAGAATAACATAAAGGAAGATGAGAGAGGGAAGAAACAAAGAATAGCGTAAGGAAAGATAGAAGGAGAAAATAATAGAAAATTACAAAAAGTGGATAACATAAGATAAGGTGATAGAAGGAACAACAAAGAATAACATAAGATAAGAATAACATGGATGACAGAAAGAGTGTGTTAGAATGATAAAAACACAAAATAACTTAAGAAAAGATGATAGAAGGAAAAAACAAAGGATAGCGTAAGGAAAGACAGAAAAATAAGAGAAAATAATAGAATAGTCAAAACAAATAATAACTTGTCATATGAGAAGGTGATAGATGGAAAAACAAAGAATAACATGAATATGACAGAAAGATAAAACCAAAGAATAACATAAAGAAAGATTGGAAGAGCGCAATTGAAGATAGAGAGAGAAAATTATAGAAAATATAATAAAAACAAAGAATAACATAAGGAATGATAGGAAGAAAATGATAGAACGACAAAAACAAAGAATTACATAAGCAATTGGAGATAGAAGGAAGGAACAAAGAATATCATGAGGAAAGGGAGAAAGAGAAAATGGTATAAGGAAAACAAAAAATAACATGGCGAAAAATAGAGGGGAAAAAGTGAAATAAATAAACGAAGAATAACATACGAAGTGACAAAAAGAAAAACAAAGACTCACATAAAGAAAGACACACAAAAAAAATGATAAATAATAGAATATTCGGAGATAGAAAAGAAGATGAAAGGGAAGAAAAAAACGAATAATAA